GGGGGGGGGGGGGGAGGGGGGTGCAGCAGTTACCCACATGGGGAACTCTGCAGTCCATGCCCAGCTGTTGAAAGTAGAAGTAGCCGGGGACCATCTTGGAGTTCCCAGCATAAGAATGCTTCCAGGGTGCAGACTCTGCAGGGATGGGGGTGCAATTCTAGTGCCCCTCTTATCTCAGATCCCCAGAAAAGATGCCCCCCCTCCCCTAATCATGCAGCTGCCTCCATCTATTATAGTTATGATATTGCTTAGGAAAAGGAGTCTTTTAAAGTCACAGAAATATTTGCCTAGTCATTTTCCCCCTTAACAGTGCTCATGTTTTTATAAAGGGTTAGTTGTATACTAGGTATGCTTCACAATTAATATCAGAATGATTTTTATTATTATTTTTTTAAGGTTGGCCAGTTGTAATAGTGTTACATAATGAAAGACGTGTTAAAAACAAAGAATTTTTGTTTATATATCAAAGCTATTCTTGGAAGGTTATAAGCTTACTATAAGAATGTATTTATTTAACTATACTAACATATTATAAATAACCACCTTCACATTACTGGGTTGCATAGAACATTTAGTAGAAAGATTTTCCCCACTAGGTTCATATTTGAGTCTTGCTGTCCTTCTAATTATTACAAAAGAGAAACATTTTCCAGGATGACTTCAGTGCTTCTGCTATTAGAACTTGTGCACAAAGTTCATTAACAGAAAAATATATATACTATTTATGCCTTGTTAAAAAATAAATAATAAAAAAAAAAAAAAATCACAGGTCAGACTGCTTGGTTAAATATATTTAAATAGATGCAAGTACACTCTAGACTAACGCAGCACTTCTGTAAACTGAGGTTTGGTTACCTAATGAGATTTCAACCTCTTTGGGTGAATAATTTACTATTATTTAAAGCAAAATTTACAGGTAAACATAGGCTTTTGTAGAGTTCTCTCCTCACTCAAGTCCTTTCTTAGCTTACAAAGAAGTTACTTGATTCAAAGTCCTATGGAAAAAAAAATTGAGAGGTATCCAACTTTTTGGTGGAACTGTTTGCTAATAGTGGCCTGTTACACATCTTTCAAATTGTTAAAACTCATCGTCAGCTACCATTAAATTTATCTGAAATAATTAGGATGAAGCAAAACTCTTTCCCTGCTCCTGCCTTCTCCCACTTCATTTGCAACATTGCTTTGCTCAACAGGTCATCATTATATAATGCAAAGCTTCAAGAACACAACCTTACTATATAAGCAAATATTTAATGTTGAAGTATAAATTATAGAGATTTGTGGGGCCAGATATAGAGTACTGCATTATGTGACAAGGGAGATTAATGCATTTCATGTAATGCAATCCCTTATCTGATGGAGGCAGAAGGACATTTTTTTTTGATGATACATATTCTGTCACTACTTATGGAAATGTACGAAGTGTCTTAGTTAATGACAGTTGAGAAGTGTTCTATATTTGGCATTTCTTTTTTTATTAAAGAAAGAAGGGGCAATGACAGCAAAACTTACGTTCAAAACCATAATCTCTTTTAAATAAATGCAGTTTTATATAAACCAGATCTCAACCCATACTTAGAGATGTGGCATATACAGCATTACTAACAATAAAAATACTTCATTCCAAGTCTAACATTCAGTCTAATTAGAAATGTTTTCTTCCCCATCCTTGCTGAGGCAAAATTCATCATTTCTAGTTTAATTTATTTTCACTTAGCCTAAACTACATTTTGAAATATGGTAGTTGCACAATGCAGGTGTTCCTGAACCAATATATTTTCCAGTCATAAAACACTAATGTTTCAGGCTCTTGTTTAAAACAACATTGTTCAGGAAAAGCTAATGTATTTTAATTAAATTAATCTGTTCTGTGAGATCACCAACAGTGGAGTTGCATGACAAATATCAGGCACAGTTCTATATTTCACAATCAAGCTTTTTCGCTAGACCAAAATACTTTATAGTGAAGTCATCAGTATTTGTATTGTTAAAAGTATACAAGGTATTAAAAATATTGTTTTCTTCTGAAAACCTTTCCAGCAAAAAAAAATGAAGTCTTGTTCAGTTTATTTAATACCCGATTGCATTTCTTTTCTTCAGTTCATAACAAAACTAGTTTGGTTCCAGCTAAAGCCCAAAGATTCAGGATTTCAAAAAAGCTGCTTTGGCAAGCAAATTAAAGGGGGAATTTTGTACCTGAAAGTTCACCATCTTCAACACTGTCTTCAACTGATCCAGTTGAATAGTTAGCTGGACTGACTGGAGGACTGGAAGTAAAGCTTGCATGACCAATGGACGAGCTGATTTCAAAATAATCATGGCTGTGATTCAGTCGGTGAAATTCCAGAGAAGATACTATTGATGTGCGCTGTTTAGGCTGAGGGGAGAACGGGATGAGGAAGGGGTAGGGGGAAAAAAAAAGGTTCAAAGTATAAATTCAGACTTCAGATATGTTTCCTACCTCTCTACTAGACATTTACCCCACGTATTATTGGAGGTTCCTTTCTTGTCCAAGTGATCTACTTAAACCAAGGCATTACATTTATATAAAAACTTAGACCATATGACATGCTGTGGTGGACTATGGTCCAACTTTCCCTCCAGAATCTGAATATTTTTCAGCAGCAAGTTTGCACTTATTATCTCTCTCCTTTTATTGGCAAGGGAACAGGCTTTTTACAGTTTTAAATTTATGAAGTCCAATTGTAAAAAACAGGGGATACACCTTTCAACATCTGTATAGCTGAATGCACTTTTGCTCCACTCAACATGCATCTTGCAAAACATTTAGATCCACTTTCCCAGATTATATAAAGTGAAAGTTACAAGCCAATAACAGTAAATGGAGTCCAGTCAGTAAGGTAAGACAACCCCTAATAGGTATTAATGTAGGAATAGCAGATATTAAAGACATTCAAATATCCAAGCTTATTTTATGGTTAAGGGGACAACGGCAGTTCAAAAACCATATACTGGAGCAAACTTTTTTAAAAAACAAACAAAAACACACACCATACTCTAGCTCAGAGATGGTCGACCTGTGGCATGTATGCCACAAGTGGCATGGGCAGCCTGTGTGTGTGGCATGCAGCAGACCCGAGAGGGGACAGGCAACAGCTGCAGGTAGGCCAGGGAGCAGAAAGTGGAGCAGTCAAGCAAGCAGAGGAAGGGGATGGGAGTGGGCCTACAAACAAACAAACAAAACAGATTGGCCCCCATTGCTTTGATTTATTAAAGTTAAGTATAACGTCAAATAGACAGAGCTTGCAATCTGATCTCTACATATTAGACTTTTATACCACAAAGATCATTTGAAGAACAGAATCTGCTAATAATCAGGACTAGTAAAGGATTACCCTTAGGGCCAGTAAGCTCTTCCTGCCACCACATACCTACTTACTGCTCCTTATTTAGGCTAATTGTTAAAAGCATAATCTAGCCCAGTGGGGTCACTTTCAGTTTTGTTCATGGTCCATTTCATTTTCAGGTTATTAGTGTGGCAATGTTTGCATTACAAATACAGATGTACAATATGATTTTGAACAAATGCACACAGAACAATAAAAACAAATAAACCCCCAACATCAGTGGAAAGCTGGGAAGGTAGGCAAAGACAAGCATTTATCTGGGACTTAAGTGCTGGATGTGGAGAGCAGTTGGCTTCTTTATTCACCAAAAAAAAGGTTCTGCTTTGAAAGGATGACTCCTAGGGATGAGTAATTACATTTGAGCACTTCATGAAGGGGGACAGACCACAGCCAACAGTGTAACTGGGCAGGGGGT